CCTAACTCTCGATGCTCTTCATGTGCAAGTGGCCATTCCACGACAGATTGCAACGACGCGTCGCAAAGTTCATTGCATTATTGTCTATTTGTCTCTGTCCTATAGTAACACAATACGATGATAATCATTTAAGATAAGTATACATTATAATATATTAGAGTATATACGGTATAAACTCACATTAAATGGGATTTTTGACAACTATATAGCTTTATAACTATAGATAGATTGTTACCAAAACAATAGATACGTGGCTTATTGATCCGTTTTATTTTTAATTGAAATTCGAGTGAAATGTTTTAAATCGTATACCAGAGATATCAAACCTATAGCCCAGTCGAATTAGAAAAAAGTTCGGAACTGATTCCACGAAAGCTGGATTTTGATTTTTTTTTTTTAGTTTATACCTCACTTATAAACATACTAAAAGTCCTGACACCTACCCCTTGTGCGTAGCCCTCCACCCCTCTTCAAAGGGTGGCCCGCCCCTTTCATTTTTTTCGCTTATAACTCGTTAGCTTTACGAGTCACAATAAAAATACCTATGACCAAAATTAAAGATAATACAATTTACCAAAGACTTGATTTACTTTTTATATATAAATATAGCGATAAGTATTATATTTTTAAAAACTTTGTCGATTTTTAGTCTGATTTGACTGGGCTACTATATTGTGTCTATGATACAATCGTGTCACGTGTGCGTATGTATCCGGTTTTCGCTAAATTAAAATTGTAAGTCGTCAAAAATTAATTATTAAAATGTCATTTACATTAACTTACACAAAAGGGCTGAGCCACCTTCGAACAAGCCAAGGACTACCAATGGTCCAGAATAATATCACAGGCATTTGAAAGACCAATTTTATAACCTGCACCGTAATCTATTTATAGTTTTAATAGAGTGATTAAAGAACACCAAGCTGAATTGTATTTAAAATTACTGTCAAATATGGTCGAAAAACTACGAATCTCAAATCTAAAGATTTTTTGAACTAGTTTCAATATCACTGTAAATGTTTAATTAAATATTAATAATAACTACGGTTTTTATAAAATTGATTTACGCTTATTGGTTATTAAAAAAGAAATTCTGTTTTGCGCTTATGGGCTACAGCCATTTTTTTCAAATGTTCATCAAGGGCCACATTAAAAAAAAAAATCTTACATATGATATACTAATAATTGTATTGCTATTATATTTTATTATTTTACATAGAAATATGAGTGTAAAGAAATACAAATGTTACTGGAAAAATTAGCTTTTAAGAAAAAATTTAATTGAATAAAAAAACGCAAAGTAACTATGACTGAGTAGTGCAGCCATCATTATCATCTTCAACTCCGATTAGATAATAATAACAATTTTATAGATTAAACTGACTATAAAACTATATAGAATAAACATCAACTATTAACGATTAGATTCGATTTTATTTATAAAGAAAAAAGAATTGAATAATATTGAAAATTTTATGAACAATTTTATTCAACAAAAATAAAACGCAAAAATTAACCACCTTTGTGCGGGCCATCAAAAATTTCTTCCGATGGTTGCCGACCCCTTGTCTACACTATAATAGGTTGTAGCCTGTAGGTATAGCTGGTACTATGATTTAAGAAATATACTTGTGTTAGCGAATTCCCAAAAATAATATTTCGAAAAAAATTATTACGTTTCAAATTGATTTAATAAATAATAGCTACTTGACTTAGATTAATGTTTTTTCCATCAAAATTATTGTTCTTATAATCAGACTCACAAATTGCCTATTTTGAATTTATCCAAAATTTAAAGCATTAAAAATAAAAAAGGTGGGCAAGTGGGTGTCGCTCTGCTGTACAGTAGGTTACAAGTGGGTCACTGTATAATGGATGGTATTAAATTTGAATTCAATGATATAATATCATTGTATAAGAAAAACGATTCTGATCGGTGACGGTATGTCAGTCTATGTATAAGACATATTATATACATATCTATGGTATTAAACAAAAAATTGACCTATAATAGGTACCTATAATAAATTCCAAATTAATCATATCACAATATCCATTAGATACTTATAACACGTTATACATCAACAAAAACCGTGATACTATCATAGATATATAATAGTACACTTTAGAAGTTTCAAGTACCCACGAATAATATTATTCAATCACAACAAAATAACTAAAATAGTTATTCTAGGTTTTTTAATATGTTATTTCGTCCAAATTTGAATTTAAAATGTCTGTAAAAAATAAGTGTGTTCATATATTTTTTAGATTTTTTGGTTACAGTATGAACTATTTACGAGAACCTTTGTGTTGAATTTGCAATCCTTAGCTATAAAAACTGAACATTTTATAATTTATTAATTACAATGATTGATAATTTTCGAGATTTTGATAAATTTTGTCAAAATTTGATCTTTAAATGCTTATAAAAAAAAACTGTGCCTATGTATTTTTAATATTTTTCAACTGCTATTGTAACAATATATCAGGAGCCTTGTATTAAATTTTTGGCCCAACAGATAAAACTTTATTGATATTTATAGAAAAAAAAACTAAAAAAAATTGAAAGCTGTAAATGTCCATAAACATCTCAAAAAGAGTCAAAATATTTTCAAAATTGTATGGTGTATAGAAAATGCTAATTTAAACATTGAGTGAAATTTTCATGTATCTACAGTTGTTCGTTTTTGAATTGCAACAAAATAAGGAAATCGCTACGTGAGTAATCGAGTGAATATCCAATGTTGTAAAAATTTGAATTTCAAACGCTCATAAAAATTTAACTTGACTGTCCGGTAGAGATTTTTTTATTGATAAAGGTAGATAATCTTATAAGAAATCTTGTATTTCATTTTCAAATCTTAGATTTAAAAAGAAAAATTTTTACGAATTCTTAACTCAAAATAATTTGCTAATTTTCGTGATTTTTCCATATTTTGTAAATTTTTGAACTTTAAATGCTTATAAAAAAAAATTGTGACTAAGGATTTTTAATATTTTTCATCTGCCTTTAAAACAACATATTAGGAGCCTTCTATTAAATTTTCAAGCTTTCGCAACCAACAAATAAAATTTTATTGATATTTCTAGAAAAAAAACTAAAAAAAAATGAAAAATGAACATGTCCCTAAACAGTTCAAAATAAATCAAAATATTTTGAAAATGTTATCGTGTATAGAAAATGCAAATATAAACAACCAGTGAAAATTTCATGTATCTACGGTCATTTGTTTTAAAGTTACACCAAAACCCAAATTCGATTTTTTGGAAAATCGATTTTGCGTAAAAATTCCCGTTTTTCCTTAATTTTATGTTGTTTTTCCCGGCGCTTGTGAAAACTACTGGAAAATGTTTACTTTTGACCCACCAAAGTACCAACTAGATTCACTTTCCTATCAGAAAAGGTACTATTGAAGAAAATCGAAGCACTTTTACTGTCCCAAAACGTGATGACAGACACAAAAATATAAAAATATAAAAATATAAAAACACACATCATTGTAAAACCAATACATTCATCGCTCCGCTCAGAATCTAAAATATACGTGTAACGCAAGTGAATACTTCTCATATATATATATGAAAAATTTTAAATATTGATTAGAACAAATTTGCTATTTATTTGTTCATATCAGATATTTTATAGTTAAAACGGTTTTACATTTTTTATAGTAAAAAATATAATCACGACTCATTTTAGTAAGTAAATATCAATAACAACTGCTAACCGATATTTGAATTGAAAATAATATTATTTGACCTACATCTTCAATGAATTAAAAACAATAGGTACCTACCTGTTATTAAATGAATAAGTAATCACTTCGTTTTTATTATTTGTTTATCGTTGACGTCGTATAGTCAAAACGGTTTTACATTCTTTTCTATATAGTAAAAAGTAATCACTTAATTTATTAAATATTAATAACTGCAACTTCTAACCGATTGAAAATATTAGTTGACCTATATTTATTGAAAAACAAAAATAGACGTTATTGATTAACACTTTGGACAGAATATCAGTGGCGCCGAGACAGTATTAAAATAGTCGGGCAAACTTTCCAAAATAGGCAATACACCCACCACGTACCCCAAAAAAAATTTTACAAATTAATGGGGGGCTCTGCCCCCCATACCCCCCTTAATAATATTCCTCTATTTACAATAACACACATTTTTATATATTTCTTTAAAAATTATTTTAATATATTATAAAAATTAATAATATAGGTAGGTACACATAACTTGAAACAGTTATAATACTGTAATAATATAAGTTACTAATAATTAATAATAGAATTTCACAAATAAAATATTAATAGTAGTAGGTAGTTATAAATTATAATATAATAAAATAGATAGTTAATAAAATAATTTAAACTTTTAAATAAATAATTTTTATTTATTTTAATGATAATCACAGTAAAGAGTAAAATATTCACTAAAAACAAATTTACAAAAAATAATTAGATTATTTTAGTATTTAAATTTTTTATTTAAAACTGTAGATTTTGTCGCAAAGTTGTCTATTATTGTTTCTGAATCTAACTGTATATCAGCTTCACAGGTGATACGCATCAGATCTATCTTCCCCCATTGTGCTTCTTAAACGACTTTTTATTAATTTTAATTTGGAAAAAGATCTCTCTGGGGAACAGCTTGATACTGGAATAGTCACTCCAATTTTTATAAGCATAAATAAACTTGGGAAAATAGATTTTAGACCAGCTTTACAGAAATCTTGAAAAACACACATTAAACTTGATGAATTTTGCCACCTTTTTAATTGTTCAGATGTAGTATCGTCACTGTTTGAATCGTTAGAGCTCAAACTTGAATTGTCATCATTTAAATTAGGATGCAGATACAGTGGAAAAGTTTCATTAACAATTAAATCACAATTTATAAACTGTTCATACTCCCTACGGACATCTTCTAACTTTAATAATGTATTATATACCAAACAAACAGCCTTAAATGCATCTATAGGAATGCTTTTAGGGTTTTTTTTTTAATGCTTTTATACGTTTGATTGATAATAAAGCAAAATCTTTCATTACTTCAATAGTTTTATTAGTAAATCTTTGACTAATTTGTGTCTTAATAATATCTAATGCTACAAAATAAGTATCTACCTTAAACTTTTGAATAGGATTTTGTTCAACTTCATCACTACATAATTCCCCATCCATTTTTCTAACTTTACGTTTTTTTGTTGTCCGCAATAGCTCAAATTCCTCATTCTCATACTTATCATCAAATTCTTTAGCTAATATAAAAATATTTTCAAATGTTTCTTCAGTTCTCAGTGCCACTATGGACTCTTTAGCACTATTAACTAAATACATCGCTGCTAAAATATCTATGTCACGAGCTTGTAATGTACGGGTTAATGGTTCAAGTATTTCAAATATTTTTTTAAAACTAAGAGCTGTCATTAAAAACCTATAAGAAGTCAAGTAGCTAAGCAGTCCATTACAATCAGCACCAAGTTTGAAATCTGATCCTCCGTCTATATTTCTTACTTCTTCTATTGTTCGATAAACTGCATCGTAAACATCGAGTACGGTATTTAAGGCATAGGCATGTGACATCCAACGAGTAGTGTTTACACGTTTCACTGATCTTATTTGTTGTTTTGGATAGAGTTCTAATTGTTTTTCTCTAAAAAAAGCTGATCGTGCTTTACTTCCAGTGATAAAAGTAAACATTTTTTCTAAATTTCCTAATAGATCCACTGCATTTGAACAAGATCCTACTGCCTGACTAGCTATTAGGTTTAAACTATGAGCAGAACACCAAATAAATAGGGCTTGAGGATTTTGTTCAAGTATTTTAGCTTGAAGCCCATTGTACTGCCCACTCATGTTTGCAGCCCCATAATATGACTGACCCACTAAATTTGATTTCCAATCATGATAATTAAAAACATTTTGAAATAACTCAGAAAGATGAACTCCGGTAGTGCATGGGGATTCTCTTAATGCTAATAATCTTTCCATAACTGTACCATTAGTTTCATTAACATACCTTATGATAAAAGAAACCTGTTCCTTACGGGATATATCAAAGGTAGAATCGAGTGAAACACTGAATATTCTCGATGAAATAATATCAGATTGAACAATTTGTGATATGTATTCTGAAACAGATTCAATTAAAAGATTTTGGCGATCCCAGGAAATAAAAGATGTATCTTTACATCCTGGATTTAAAGAATTTATATAGTAAATTTAGTTGTAAAACAATGAATAAAAATGTCTTTTTTAACACATGAAATGTACATTAAAAAATTATAATTAAAAACTTGTACCTACTAATTGTATTTTTTTGTAGGCGAAAAATAATTTAAAATAATTAATTATCAAATTAGTAGGTACCTAATTCAATGAAAGCAATATAATATAATAGGTATACCTAATAGAATATATAAATATATAATTTATTTATAACAATTTATATTTTGGGTATAGGTTATAATGGTTATATTAAAAATCACAATAATTCCTACATTTATAGTTTTACTAAATTGATAATTTTAAATTTTAAAATTTTACAAAATTCCAATACATTTTAAAATTATAAGTAGATAAATAATTTTTATAATTACCTGCAGTAAGAGTGTCAGTTGGTAAAATCTCACTGACTGATGGTATTTTAATCTGTTTATCATAATCATTTTTGCCCAACAGATAAAACTTAATTGATATTTATAGAAAAAAAACTAAAAAAAATGAAAACTGAAAATGTCCGTAAACAGCTCAAAAAGAATCAAAATATTTTCAAAATTGTATGGTGTATAGAAAAAGCTAATTTAAACATTCAGTGAAATTTTCATGTATCTACAGTTGTTCGTTTTTGAATTACAACAAAATAAGGAAATCGCTACATGAGAAATCGAGTGAATATCCAATGTTGTAAAAATTTGAACTTCAAACGTTCATAAAAATTTAATTTGACTTTCTTATAGACATTTTTTTTTTTTGATAAAGGTAGATAATCTTATAAGGAATCTTGTATTACATTTTCAAATCTTAGATTTAAAAAGAAAAATTTTTACGAATTCTTAACTCAAAATAATTTGCTAATTTTCGTGATTTTTCCATATTTTGTCAATTTTTGAACTTTAAATGCTTATAAAAAAAAAATTGTGACTAAGGATTTTTAATATTTTTCATCTGCCTTTGAAACAATATTATACTAGGAGCCTTCTATATGATATTATTACATGATATTATTAACATCATGGTCCACGGGCCAACCATTTATTAATAATGATAAGCTATATTAATACAATAAATAAGAATTATCAGAAATGACAATAGTTCGTACTTCGTAGTACCCATACCAACATAATATTAATTATTATATAGGTACATTTATAACAATATTATATAGTTATTTACGCTGTACACATCACACAGGTCTTACTGCATATAATTGGTACCTACCTTATTGCTTATTAGTTAATAGTTATTATATTCTAAAATGGCTAACGGAATTAATTGATTACGTGTTATGAAACAATAATATAATATCTATAAGAAGTATAGCATAATATTATTATTATTTACAACCACCCACTTGACCACCACCACCACCACCACCACCACCACCACCACCACCCAAAAAATTTGGTCGGGCGACCGCCCGACCTATACCCCGTGTTCGGCGCCACTGGGACAGATTCGATAAACGTAAAACCGTTTTGCACGGTCAGATCACCCGCGTATTGTCTTAAAATCGGCGTATGACTTAAAATCTGATCGTAATAGGCTCTAACAGGTGGGAGCCATCGGACTGCAGCGCCGACACAAGCGTGGCGAATAATAATAATATAATATTAATTTATTGTCCACGTCCGACCGGACACAATTATTATATGCCTCTACAGTGTAATACGTCGGTTAGTAATATTGTTATCGACTACCGATGTGTATAGGTGTTTACAGGTGTGCGCGTGGAAATTTCACAGTCGGTCCGATACACATACCTATACGCTCCGGGCAATGTCATGACCTAGAGAGAGGGAATACAGTTAGTGGAGGAGACGCGTTGTAATATCATACCTACGACGAATGGACTGCCGGAGACTTCAACAGACACACGCGACAGGTATACGTAGGTAATAACCAGCTGGTAAGTGGGTATTGCCGGCACACGACTGCGTCTGGAAACGGAGCGGGAAATGCGTTCGCGTTTAGTCGTGACCGGACTTGACCATTACGAGGTTCTCGTCGTTATACCTATGTTATATTATTGAATACCCACCTAACGTGGTCGATACCACACAACTCCGTCGGTCGCTGATACCTATAATATATACTCACTATTGTTTTTTTATTCCTCCCTTGTACAGAACCGTGTGTCTTATATTATAGTGGTTAACACGAACAATAATTCATTTTGCAGTGCGGTCGTATTTCTGTACATTTATGACGTGCAGGTACACAATATAGTTTTACCAGGTGAGTGCAGAGACGTATTTTTATAAATAATTAAACTGGTTTTTTTTCCCCTAATTTTTGTACTAATATGTGGTAAGACACATTTTATAATTATTCGTATATTTTTAATATAAAGCTAACTGAAAGTGTATAGATATCGAATAGCTACATATTAGGCACTTAATACAATTTAAAATATTTGAACAGGTTTATTAATAGGAATTTATGTATATATAGGTACCTCACTACCTCAGGTTGAATATTTATATGTTATACGACAAATTATACATACTTTTTTTTTATTTTTTTTTTTTTAGAAGAAAATATACAATGTATATCTTAAACATAATAAGTATATGTGCGATAAGGGAAACAAACAATAGGGTGATATACATAAATTTGAGGAAAGAAGCCACCCACTGATGACACATTTGTCTTAGTTTAATCGTATGCGATTTAGTTATATGTTAGTATTTATATTATATATTTAGTTGTATCTTATATGTTATTATTTAAAATAATAAATCTCTGCACCATTTACGTTTATGTAGCCTTGGAGGGCTATCTGGGATTGTGAGGGATGAAAAGTTTTTAATGAGTAGATTTGAATGAGAGAATAGACAGTTTTTAAATTTTTTATAAAAACGTTTAGCTTCGTCATGAATAGTTTTTAAGTTACAATCTAAATATAGGGTATGGTTTGATATGTATGGAGGTAAGTTAAATAATTTCCTTAAGGTCATATTTTGGAAAGCTTGAATCTTATTCAGGTTTGACTTTTTAGCATTTCCCCATAGCTGCAATCCGTATGTCCAAATGGGTTTTAATAAGGTTTTATACAAGAGAAGTTTGATATTAATAGGGTGGCTTTGTCAAAAAAATTATACATTCTTAAAATTTTTTTGAGTAACCTTTAAATTTACAATTTTGTTTTGTTTATTTTGTAAGTCGCACACAATTTAATATTATCATATTTAAGTGTTGATAATCCTATCCCTGCTATTATACGATCTACCTACCCGCCTTAAACAAATAAATCCAATAGTCATTTGTTAATTACGATTATTTGTAAAATACTAAAATGTGAGACTATATAATTTATTATTGCAATAATATGGTCTATAGTTAGGTACAGTAGGTGCACGATGGGCGTAGTATTGTAACGACATTGAACTTGACCAAACTTGATTTTTAATAATTTTCTGTTGTCGAACTCGTACAGTATTTAATATGATAATATTATTAACTATAAGGAGTCTTGTATTCAATGGTCATGCAGTACTTATAATATGAAGTATACGTATTAAAATAAAACGTACGCATTTTGATGTTGAAAACGTATTTTTACGTCTAAATATTTTTAATTTAGATTCAATCAACTAATGAACAGAGTTTTCCATTTAACTATCTAAAAATATTACAACCAATTGAGTTGTCAAAAATATACAAAACAAAATTTTTCCATTATTTAAGTAAAATTTTAATCATGGAATGTCCAAATTCGCTTGAAAGTTGTAAGTAGAATCTAAGTACAAGACGAGACCACAAATCTAAACTTGTTTTCAAAATCCACATCTCGTAATTAAATCGATTCAGTTGGTAAATTGGAATAAAAATAGATGTTTTAACATATAAGAACAGCCCACTCCCAATTCCTTAGAATGTTATTTATTAATGTTCTAAATAATAATACTAGGTGGTAAATTTCCTAATCGTATAGGGTGTCAATAGGTCGAATGACGATTTACTGAATACCACATAAGGAACATATTATCTATGGCTATAATATATAATATATACTATTAGCTACACTCCAATTTTTTTTTTATTTGCCAGAAAATTGTACAATGTTGTAGTCCGTAGGTAGTCATTTATGCCTGATTGGCCTGTTTAAGTGCTAATAGATTAATTGAAAATTGATTTTTCATAAAATAAAAAAAAATATACATAACATATTATAATTGAAATAACTTAAAAAATACGGTTTTGAG